GTCCGTGGTGGCTGCCGAGCGACTGCAGGGAGCCCCGCGAGCTGTGTGGGGACAGGCTCCGCTGGAGGGGTCTGTGGGCAGGGCCCCCGTTGGGGCAGCTGCTGGGGATGTAGTGAGGCGTGCTGTCGCTCTCGATGACAAGGTCGCCCTCCTCGTCGCTCTCAGCCGTGCTGTAGTTGCTCAAGTACTGCGAGGCCGGGCTGGGCGTCTGCTGGCTGGGGGTGCTGTCCGTGGACATGCCCGAACTGCCTGAGGCCTTGCTGCTGCGGATGACATTGTTGCGCTGGTTGGCCGGCTTGACAGTGATGATGAGGTTGTGGCTGTTGGCCACCATCATGTCCGTCACCTGGTCCAGGGACTTGCCAGCCACGTCGATGCCATTGACCTCCAGGATCTCGTCACTCACGGCCAGCAGCCCCGTGCTCTCTGCCAAGCCACCCTTCACCAGGCGGGAGATGAAGATGCCAGGCACCTTCTCAACACCCTGCGGGGCCACGCGCACGCTGACCCCATCGCGGATGTAGAAGCCCAGCGGCTTGTCAGAGCCGTGCTTGTGTAGCCGGACGCGGCGGTGGGTCTCGGGCAGGATGTCCACGTCGATGATGGATGAGATCTGCCGGAAGTCCTGAGGCATGCCGATGAGGAGGTGAGGCTTGGCCCGGTAGTGTGCGGGGCGCAGCAGCCCCTTCTTCTTCCGCTGCAAGGAGTTGGAGGCGAAGACGCTGGCATCGGACTCTGCTGCAGAAAGGAAGGGGGATGCAGGGTTAGGCAGCGCTCAGCCAGCCAGCACCTCCTGCCCTAGCCATTACCCAGTGACTTGGGGAACCAGGTCCTTTGGCCCTGGCTATTGCAGGACCCAGTGGGAGAAGCGCCCTGCTCCCAGGTCTCATGGGTCTGTTTTCTCCGGAGCATCGCCCTGGCTTTTCCTGCAGCCCATCTCTGCTGGGGCACGCCTCTAGCACGGATCTACCCCTGCAGAGCCGCTGGGCTCATCTCCTGGGATTACCCAGCATACATGAGGCCAGGATTAGTGGGATCTAGTCAGTGATTCAGCCTTAATCACACTTTAAGCCAAACTCTGCAGCTTAACGCTGGAGCTGCCAGCTCCAAGCTGGAGCCGC